GGGGGGGGGGGGGGGAGGAGAGGAGAGGAGGGGGCGGCGAGGGAGAGGCAGACGGCGGGGGAGAGGGCGATCAACAAAACTGCGTCGGAATCGTGGAGGAGAGGAGGCGGGGCCTGCGGCGGGCTGGTCTGCAGCATCTTTGGCGACGTCGGCGTCAGCGTGCCCACCGAGCCGTACCCGACCTTGGCTCCCACCTGCGGCCACACGCGGCGGGCGGCGGTGGCGACGGCGGCGGGTGAGGGCGGCAGCGACGGCGGCGGGGCAGAGGGCGGCAGCAGCGATGGCGGCGGGGTAGAGGGCGGCAGCGACGGCGGCGGGGCAGAGGGCGGTAGCAGCGATGGCGGCGGGGTAGAGGGCGGCAGCGACGGCGGCGGGGCAGAGCGGCGGCGGCGATGGTTGTGGGGCAGAGGGCGGCAGCAGCGATGGCGGCGGGGCAGAGGGCGGCAGCAGCGATGGCGGCGGGGTAGAGGGCGGCGGCGATGGCGGCGGGGCAGAGCGGCGGCGGCGATGGTTGTGGGGCAGAGGGCGGGTGCGATGGCGGCGGGGAAGAGGGCGGCGGCGATGGCGGCGGGGAAGAGGGCGGCAGCGATGGCGGCGGGGCAGAGCGGCGGCAGCGATGGTTGTGGGGCAGAGGGCGGGTGCGCTTGTGTGGCGGTTCACCGCGAAGCTGGTAAGCTCGACCGAGAGCTCCATGATGTGCGCCAGCGGCAGGTAGGCGCAGTAGGTGCCCCCCGCCTTGAGGTAGGACTTTCCGTCGAGCGACAGCGCCGAGCCTACCGGGGGTGAATACACCAGCCTCGGGGCGGGGAGAACGGTCTCGTGCGGAGTAGTCAGAGCACCGCGTGAATACGAGGGGTGCGATTGCATTGGAGACAGCCGAATACGGTCGACTACGGCGGAGGGCGGGTCCTCTCGAGCGCTGGTTTGGAGGACACGGACTCCGTCTTTCCCCTTCTAGGGACGCCGGGCCGGGCGCGAGTGTGGCGCCCATCACGCAGAGCAGGCTCTTGTGCGAGATCAGGACGCCCTTGGGGTTGCCGGTGGTGCCCGACGTGTACATGAGGACCGCCGTCTCCTCGGGCGCCGCCGCGGTCGGCGTGATGGCCGACTTGCTCCCCGCGGCGACCAGGTCGTCCTAGGAGGGGGGGGGGGGGGGAGTCTGCAGCCGCAGCAGGGAGGGCGCCGGGACGGCACGAAGCAGCGTAAGCGGCGGCGAAGGGAGAGGCGGCGAAGGGAGAGGGGAACGCGGCGGACGGCGGGGAGGGGACGCGGAGCGCCAGCTTGTGGATCTTGAGCAGCTTGGAGTCTGCGACGACCGCCTGCACAAGGCAGCGTCGGCCAGTGGGGTGGGTGGTGGGCAGCGGTCGGCGGTGTGCGGGCTCGTGATGGTGGGAGGCGCGGAAGAGGGCTTCTGCGAGTGAGGCGGCGACGGCGTGGCGCGGCCAGGGCGGTGAGGGCTGCACGTAGCGCCAAGTGCAGGACGGGCGGCGCGTGCGCCTTGCAGCCGGACTGGTTGATGCCGTACTCGGCGCCCTCGGCGCCGAGCGTCGCGTAGATCGTCCCAACGACGTACCCCTGCCGCCAGCAGGCGTACGCAGCGAGCATCCAGTCGCGCTGCGTGTCTGCGTAGATGACCACCGTGTCGTTCGCCTTTAGGCCGGGGATGGCCTCGGCGAGGCCGGCGCCGAGCGAGTCGGCCGTCTTGAAGTACTCGGAGTAGGTCATCCACTCGTAGTTGGGCGCCATGCGCAGCTTTTCGAAGCCCCCCTCGGGCACGACTTCGAGAATCTTGCGCACGCCCGCACACTGGAGGGGACCGTGCGTCGCTGCCGAGGCGACGAGCGTCTCCCAAAGGTTTTTGTGCCCGCCGAAGCAATCAGAGAAGGCGCCGACCTGCGAGATTTGGGCGGGCTGTGGCGCGAGGTGCCCGGAAACAAAGGTCCGGCAACAAAATGTGTGCTGGTGCCGATGGCCGCGGCGGGGCTGGCGGCACTGGGGGAGGCGGGCTCAGCAGTGGTGGCGAGCCTGGTTGGCGTTCCACAGGACGCCATTCTCGTCCACCTTGCCGGCCATATGAGAGGAAGGGAAAAGGGTGCTTGCGAGAGAGGGACGCGGCTGTCAAGGTCAGAGAGCGCCGAAGCGAGCACAGCTTCGGCGTTTTTCTTTTTTGAGTAGTCGGTAAAGGGCCTCAGCCTTCGGCGCAGAAACGGTCCACCAGCTCTACAAACGTGGCCGGCGCCTCCGAGTGCACAAAGTGGCCGGTGGCCACCATCTCGAGGCGCGCGTTGGGGAAGAGGGCCTCGCACGCAGGAAGGTGCTTCGGCTGGAGCATGCCGCCGTTCGCGCCCCCGATGAAGAGCGCCGGCATCTCGGCCCTCGACCCGGCGGGCGCGGGGAAGCCGCGCAGCGCCTCGTAGCTCCCGAGCAGCGCGCGCAAGTTCAGGCGCCAGCTGCGCGTTTCGGGCTGCAGGCTCTGCAGCAGGAAGCCACGCACGAAGGGGTTGCCGAGCCCGCCCCCTCCCTGCGCGATGGCTGTCTCGCTCGCCGCGAGCGCCGAATCCACCTCCTTCCGGTCGCCGAGCGCCGTCTCGGGCACGGCGAGCAGCGCCTCGATGATGGCCCGGTTTGCCTCCATCTCGTATCGGACCGGCGCGATGTCGGCGACGCACAGGCGCGCGACGAGGTCGGGCCGCTGCAGCGCCGTCAGCATGGCCACCTTGCCGCCGAGCGAGTGGCCGCACAGGCTCACAGGTCGCCCGATCGACTCGAGGACGCCCTCCATGTCGGCACGCATGGCCTCAAACGAGGCGTCGTCGTGCCACGGGCTGCCGCCGTGGTTGCGCAGGTCGACGAGCACCACCTCGCGCCGCGCCGCAAGCTTCCGCCCGACCGTCGCAAAATTGTTTCCCATCCCAAAGATGCCGTGCACGAGCACGAGCGGCGGCTCCGCCGCACCGGCGGGACCAGGCAGGTGCCTGCGTTTCAACTCGATGGGCGTGACCGACGTCAGGCGGCGTGCCTGGCGCCGCGCGGGGGCTCGCGCCGCCATCGCGACGCGGCGCAGCATGTGCATGGCACAGGACGGACCGCTGCCGACTGCGGGTCGTCGTCGGATTCCGAAATTTCTTTATTCTCAAATCTGCCGTAAAAATATTTTTATGGTTAATTGCTTTCTTCTCTGCTTTCTTCTCCTCACCTTCTCTTCTCACTCTCACTCACTTACCACCACCCCTCCATTTCCTCACCATCACACCTCCACCTCCTCACCTCACACCTCCTCTTCCTCTCACCATCACACCTCCACCTCCATACCCTCCCCTCTACCTCCTTTGATCTTCATCACCTCAGACGTACATATACTGCCGCTCGGCGGGCTCTATCACGACTTCCCTATAGTCTAGTTGGTTAGGATATTCGGCTCTCACCCGAAAGACCAGGGTTCGAGTCCCTGTGGGGAAATCCTATTTTGTCAGGTGGGGGGGCGTTTATTTTTGCTTGGCCGGGTATCATGCCGGGGTAGGTAGGGTAGGGTCTGGGCCCTCCCGTCGGGTTTTTCCCTCTCTCACGCCGGAATTTTCACGCAGAAAAAGAATTTTTCCGCGCAAATCACGATGTCACCCTCCCCAAATGGGTGATCTGATGCTTGTAGGGCTTGAGAGTGGCCTCCCATGTCACAAGAAGGACTGTGGATGCAGGAGAGTACCACCAACCATCACCTAGTTGGTATAGTACCCCACCTTCACCCATCCTATGATTTCTTTTTTAGTTTCCCATAAGTAGGGTAGGTAGGTAGGTAGGTAGGTAGGGGCAGGGCAGGGGCCGGCCAGGGTTTTTGCAGAATTTCAGCATGATACCCGCCCAAGCAAAAATAAACGCCACCTGTTTTGTTGCGACATCTCAGCGCTTGCCTCGTTGCCCGACGAGGGCATCATCTCCACCCGGTCGAGGCAAGTGCTGAGATGTCGCTACTTTTTGCGACATCTCAGCACTTGCCTCGTTGCTCGCTCCCGGAAGAGTTGTTGTTGCGGAAGAGGTGCCGAGATGATGCCCTCGATGCCGTCGGGCAACGAGCCGCTCCTCCGACTCCTCCTCCGACCAAGACTCATGCGGCTCCGGCTCTACTAGCGCGGCGAATGACATTTTCGACACCCTCGACGTACGACGACCATCTCGGCTACGGTTCCGACTCCGGCTTCGGCTGGTAGTCGACATACGACAAGCTGCCGAGCCCAAATCACTGTCAGTGCCAGATTTCTTGTTGGCTCCTAAAAATCTCTGATCGCGCGCGCGCCAGCCCTCACGCCCCCTTTTCCGCCGCCAGCCGCTCCGGCTCTACCGCTGTACCGCTGCCCGCCTGCGTCCGCCTTCTCCCAATCTTCTCCAACGTCCTGCAGGCGCCTCTCTCTGAGCCCCTGGTCTGACAGCCTGACAGCAAACCCCGGACAGCGCCTGACAGTGCCCGACAGCCTGACAGCGTTGACAGCACTTCTCTGCTAACAGCACGTATCTGACAGCCTGACAGCAGAGTCTGACATCAGAGGGGCTCCGTCGCTGTCAGGCCCTAACGTGACAGCCTGACAGCTGCCCGACAGCCCGACAGCACACAGTGGTCTGACAGCAGCGCTGACAGCCCGACAGCCCGACCAGCCCGACAGCAGCACAGACCGTACACAGGCCCCATGAGGGTATAACAAAACTATTACATGCAAAGACATGTAGTCATGGGATGGTCATGGGTCTCTCCTAGGGTCTCTCTCTCAACCCTCCCGCCCCACCTCTGCGGACCCGCGGCTGTGCTACTACAAATGAAGCTACCAGCTAAGCCTTCTGGGGCCCTACAGTCATATGCCTACGGCGTCTGGGTGGGGATGGCCGCCGCCGTCTGTGCCGCCGCCGCCGCCTGCGCCTGCGCCGCCAGCTGCGCTCCCCAGGCTGCCGCTGCCGGGGCGTGATCACGCCGTAGGAGGGGGGCAGCTGCGTAGCCGCCGGCGTCATCGGCGTCAGCGCCCCCGCCATCGCCCGGCCAGCAGCCACGGCGGCGTCGACCGCCGCGTTGGTCGCCTCCCTCTGCCCAGCCACTTGTGCGCGATCGACCTGCGACCGCCGCGAGAGGAGGGTGAGTGCCCCGCGTGCGGGTATTGATGGACACACAGCGAGGAGAACGCACGTTTGCAGCTCGGCCAGCGTCGGCTTCTCCACCGGCAGGTCGGCGAGCCACGCGCGGAGGTGCGACTCGCCGGCGGTGTGGCGCAGCACGTTGGAGCAGTTCGAGCCGATCGTGCCACTGGCAGCTCGAGCGCAGAGTACCTGCGCCAGCTCTCGATGAGTCAGCGCAGCAACGGGGTCTTCATCAACGACCTCAAGGGCCTCTTTATCCTCCGGTGGTACCGTGAGGTGAAAAGGGTGACGGGACCCCCCCAGACGGCCCGCGCTACCAGTCAGAACAGAGCGTGCAAGTACTACAAGCTGACGAGCGACAACGATGGGGAGGCCTTCCGCTGGGCAAGCAACTACCAGATCATCAGCAAGGTGTACCTGAAGAAGCACTCCAGCCTGCCTCTCTGCTATTCTCTCAGTGCGGCAGACAAGAAGATGGTGACGTCCACCATGAAGAAGATGGTGGGACCGAAGGCAGAGTAGAGACTAGAGTATGTGTGCAGTAGAGTCCTGCTGGTCTCCTCTTGATAGTGTCATAAGTGTGGCTGGTGTGTGTCAGAGCCTGACAGCACCCCGACAGCACCACCTGACAGCACCTGACAGCAACAGCCCAACGTCTGACAGCAGCAGCAGCCTGACAGCTCTGACAGCTCCGACAGCGTCTGGCAGCAACACCCGACAGCTCCGACAGCACCCGACAGCTACAGAGCCCCTCTGATGTCAGACACGCACCCGACAGCACCTGACAGCACTGACAGCACCCGACAGCTGGTCTGACAGAGGCACCTGACAGTGCCTGACAGCTGCCCGACAGCCCGACAGATCACCTGACAGCACCTGACAGCACCTGACAGCCTGACAGCCAGGGCTCAGGCCTCTCTTCTGTGCAGGACTAGGAGGCGCCGAAGCCGCCCGTCTCTCCTCCTCAGCGCCGTGCCGCCGCACCGCATCTCGACGACTTGCTCGTGTCCGTTCGTGCTAGCGGGCGACTCTCGCCTCGAGCTCGACTCGCCGAGCGGGTGCGCCCGTCGGCGTCGCTCACTCGCCTGTGTTGTTTATGCTTTTTGATGGTGTCTTCGCGCCGGGGGCGAGCGCAGAAGAAGGTGCAGAACCAAGGTGGCGCGCTGGACACTTAATACTGAATTCGTGGACGCCTGTGCTACTCTGAACTCTCGAGTCTCGTGCCTGGGTATGTCCGGTCCTTTCTCTGGTTCTCTACACTCTGTTTATAGAGCCGCCCTCTCCGGCTCTGCGCACTGCGGCTGCGCCGCTTCGCGCGCGGGCCGCGCAAACGTCGCACGCAACTTCAGAAGATCAAAACAGCCGAACGGGGGCACGAGCGCTTGCATGATGGGACCGCACCCGAAAAGCGGCAGAACCCCTGCGGCGTCACCGTTTTGCGCCCCCGTCGTTTTCGCGTCAGTCCTCGTTGTAGTCGGCCCAGCCCCCGATTCGGGTCTTGCACTCGGCCACGAGCGCCGCGAACCTCGCGGCGCCCACCAGCGGCCTGAAGCGCTGGTCGCTGGCCAGCGTGTCGAAGACGATGCTGCAGCGCAGCCATCCGTCCCTCTGGTCGAGCCACGAGAGGAGGAAGCGGGCGACGCCGGGCGTGGGCTGCAGATAGGAGCTGGCGCAGTACTTGTTGATGCTGTCCATCACGCTCTCCTCGAGGGTGCCGAGCTTGGTCGTCGCGAATCCGCCGCAGATCGAGGCGATGATGGCGTTGGCGACGACGTGCTGGGCCCCGTCCTCCGCCTCCTCGCCGTCGTCCTCGGGAAATGTCTGGCCAAAGTCTCCAGAGTCCCAGTCGATGTGCTCCTGCGCGATGCGCTGGCACGTCTCGACCGCGTCCTCCCCGGCGAGCACAGCCGTCATGATGGCGTGCGTGCACTCCAGCGGGTCGCAGACCCGGAAGCATCTGAGGCAGCCGACCGAGAAGCTGAAGCAGCCCCCCGAGTCGATCTCGCGCATGAATGCTGCCCACCCCTGCCGGTAAATGGCGGAGCGGCGGGCGGCGCGAATGGCGCGGTCGCGCACGCCCTCTCGGGCGAGAGCGACCTTCCACGACCAGCATGCAGCCATCATCGATGCAGCACCGCAAGCGCCCGCTTGCATCTCATCGGCCGCATTCTGTCGGCTGAATGCCGGCCCGCTGTCGATCTCACGAGTGAGCACCCATGCGATCGCGCGGAGGAGCTCCGGAGTGATGTTTGCCCAATCCGCCATGTGGCAATGGCAAGGCCGGTTTTTTTCTTTTATTTGAAACGCTGTAAGGTCCCGTTCCAGTAAGTAAATAAACCCCCCAAGCCAAGCTAGGCTAGACACGTCCCCACCTTTGCAGGATTTTGCAAAAGCGAAGAAGAAAACAAAGCGACCACAAGCGATGGGGTGGGGTGGGTGGGTGGGTGGGTGTGGGGGGGGGGGGGGGGGGGCATCGCGGCGCGGAGAGGGCTGGGCACAGGGCACAGGGGATCTCTCGCGCATAGGATGCGCACTCGGCATGAAAAAAATCTCGCGCTTAGTGGCAAGATGTACATGAGCTTCGGCTTCCACGCCCTGGTTCTCGCCCTGGTGGCCACGGTGGACGCGCTCCTGCCGGCGCGCGCGGCGTCGCTCACGCAGGCCGACAGGCCCAACGGCGGCCACCGCGCGCCAGCGGCACTGATGCAAGCCGACAGGCCCAACGACTGGTGCCGACGCCCGGAGCTTCTGCCCTCGGCCGCCTCCACCGCACAGTGCCGTCGCCACAGGCCCTACGGTCTGCACTCGGCCGCCTCCACCGCACAGTGCCGTCGCCACAGGTACTACGACAACGTCGAGTTTATGAACGAGCCCTTCAAGTTCATCGCGGAGCACCCGCAGGATTTTTCGCCAGCGATGCAGGCGATGGCTAAGTACCAGTTCATCACG